GGGTTTTTTTTTTTTTTTTTTTTTTTTTTTTTTTTTTTTTTTTGGCGGCTGGCCAGTAGGGGGGAACCGAACCCTTCACCTTGGTGTTACAAGGCCCTACTGTAACCAACTGAGCTAACCGGCCAACCATAATTGTTAAATAATAAGTTTCAACCAAACACTTATATAATGCTTATTATGTGCTAGTCTCTGTTCTTAACACCTTAAACATACTAACATTTAATCCTCCTAACAACTGCATTAGGAATATACTATCGATGTCCCATTTCACTGATGAGTAAGCTTAGGCAGGGAGGGAGATTAACTTCTAAGGAATTGTGTTTTATCAAATATGTATGTACATTCATTCTAAAACATTAGCTGTCCTCAGTCTACGACAGATGCTGGCTAGGCGCTGGGGACACAAAATAAAATCATGGTTAGTATTTATTAAGCACCTACTTACTATATGTCAGGCTTGGTGTTAGGCATTTCATATAATTCTATTTATAACCTCACAATAACCTTGCAAGTTAGGTATCCTCAATTGCATTTGATTGTTATGGAAATAAGGATTTGGCGAGATTCAGTAACGTGACCAACCCGGCTGAATGCGGAGACGGTGTTACTATTCAGATCCAGCCTCCTCTTTCCCGGGAAAATCCACAGAACTCCGCCCCTCGCCCAGGGCTGGCCCCGCCTACGGTCTCTCCCACGCCTGCGCGCTCCTCGCGCCAGCCCCTTTCTCGCCGCGGAGGCGCCGCGCGCATGCGCGCTTCTTCCCCATGTGTGCTTGGGCCGTCAGCCGACCCAGCTGAGCAGAGGCACTAAACACTCTCAGCGATAAGACCTTGTCACTAGCTGGGCCGCCTCTACCGCCTGCCGTTGCCCTCCTCTCTGTCCACACAGCTCACGTCGCCATGGGCAAGAGCCGGACGAAGCGTTTCAAGCGACCTCAGTTCTCCCCTACCGGCAACTGTCAGACTAAGGCGGCTGCAGCAGCGAATGGGACTGGAGGCGAGGAGGACGACGGGCCGGCGGCAGAGCTGCTAGAAAAGGTAAGGTGAGGGCTCCGCTGGGCCCGGGGGCGGGGGCGGGGCGGGCGTTCGCGCAGAGCCGTCTTCGGCCACCGCTGCCCCGGCGCGCGTGCGCACTGCGCTCCTTCTGACATCTCGCTCCCGTCCTGCAGCTCCAGCACCCGAGCGCCGAGGTCCGCGAGTGCGCCTGCGCGGGGCTGGCCCGGCTGGTGCAGCAGCAGCCGGTGCTCCCGGACCTGGCTCGTCGCGACGCCGTGCGCCGGCTCGGGCCGCTGCTGCTCGATCCCAGCCTGGCCGTCAGGGAGACGGCGGCCGGCGCGCTCAGGTGAGCCGGGAGGGGTCCGGGCTGTCGCAGCAGTCAGCCAGCGCTTTCTGTGTGCCAGGCACTGTCGCGATCTTCCGTTTCATCCCCAGTGCGCTGTCTGGGGTAGCTCAGGAGGGCGAAGAACCTGCCCCAAGCCTCACGTCTGCAGAGGGGGGATTTGAACCCGGTCTTCAGCCTCCGGAGGACCCCAAAACCTTATCGCAGTCCATTTGTCCACCTGGCTGCTTCAACTGCAGCAGCCACCTGCCAAGGCGTCCTGCCCTCTAGCCTTGCGCACATTTTACCCTCTCCAAGAACCTTCCTTAGAGTCCCATGATTAGACGAACTCCTTTAGTCTATTTGCCAGGAAATGTTCTAGGTGCAGGGGATTTTTGAGCAGGCCGTTTGTTGAGCAAGGGAGCCAAAATCTCTGTCTTCGCAGAAGCTGTGTTGATGGGGAGACAGGAAACTAGTGAAAAGGTAAAACATAATATTAGATAGTGAGAAGTGCTGTGGGAAGACAAGAGGATGATGAGTTGGGAGTGGGAAGTTTAAATTGGATGCTTTGTGGATGACATTTGTGAAATGAGACCGGAAGTACGAGAGAGCCAGGCATGGGAAAATTGGGGAAAGAGCATTCCCCACATAGGGAACAGCGAAGAAGTGAGGCGACAAACGGCTTGGCATGGTAAAAGAACAGAAAGTTTAGTGTGGCTGAGTAGAGTAGGAGAGAGGAATTATAGGAGATGAAGGTGGAGAGATGGAAAAGATGTAGGATGGGGTAGGGTTGAAGGATTTACTTTAACTTACCTTTTGAAAGGCCACTTTGCTGGCTGTGCAGAAAATGAACTGTAGAGGGAGCAAGAATAGAAGTTAATATTTGTAGTTATTATAGCTCTGCCTATATTTATTATTTGTTTCATTCATTGATTTAGCAACTATATATTCAGTGCCTGTGTGCCATGCACTGGATTAGGCTCTGGGCATGGGGTAATGAGCAAGACAGAGATAATTTCTGTCCTTAATGAATCTTACAGTCTATTGAGGGAGATAGGCATTAACCAGATCATATAAGTGTATAATTACAACCAGTGATAATTACAAAGTTTGCTACGAGAGGGTATAACTGGGAGTTCAAGGAGTAAAGCCATGCGTGAGTGATGTTTGAGGTGAGATCTGAGGGTTGAGTGGGGATTAACCACCTGATGTGGGTGGGAGTTAGACATCCTTCTACCCCTGGGGAAGAAACAGCATGTGAAAAGCCCCAAAACATACAAATTGGAAGCTCCTGGAAGATTACAGGGACATCTGACTTACCTCTGTCTCCTTAGTGCCTAGCCCAGTGCTATGCACTCAAGAGAGCAAGCAGTGTCTCTCCAGTTAAAATTTAATTTAGCCAGGGCTGCTTCAGGGGAGGTCATTCTCAGCCTCACCTTACTGCCCTTGCAGTCTTGATTCCAAGAAAAGGTCCTTTCGTTACAATCAGGCTATGATTTATTCACATTAAATAGTGTTTTGTGACATGTAATCTAAAAATAAAACCTATTTTAAACTTCTTGTGTAGAAATCTCAGTGCTTGTGGAGGTTTTGAAGTTTGCGATGACATGGTGACTAAGGATATCATGACTCCTCTGGTCGCACTGCTAAAGGAGGTACGCACTTTTTAAAGTATCTTGATGGCAGCTTCCAAATGTAGCTTTTCTTTATTTATTTTTATTTTGGGGGTGGCTGGCTGGTATGGGTATTTGATGTTATTAGGCCTTGCTCTAACCAACTGAGCTAACCAGCCAACCTCAAATATAGTTTTTACAATGCAAACTTAGATAGGCCTCTCTCTCTCTCTCTCTCTCTCTCTCTCTCTCTCTCTCTCTCTCTCTCTCTCTCTAGTATTTTGGTGTTACTTTGTCTTCCTTTAAAACATCCTACCAGAATTTCATTTTTTTTCCTTGAAACGTCTATCTACTCTAATTGTTGATACCAACCTCTCTATTATTTTGTTCCGCTACCTTTATTTATGTGATGGTTGGAAAAGACCTTCCTAAAGCTATACAGACTCACTCTATTAAACTTTAAACTTCATACAGTAAAAATAATTCATTTTTATTGATTGCTTATTTAGGTGCCAGGTACTGTTTTTGTGTTTTGCATATTATTTAATTTAATACTCATAGCAATCCCATGAGGAGGGTATTATTATTATTGTCATTTTACAGAAGAGTAAGCAAAAGCACAGACATTATGAACTTGTGAAGTTTACATTAAGTTCTCATATTTAATATCATGCCAGTCTTATTGCATGATGTAGTTCAGGGTCTGAGGTGCTCTCTTTCAGGTCCACTATTCTGTATTAATGGATAATTTTCTCTTTAGGCTATGTAAACTATATCTAGTTTTGATGAGAGGCATGAGTCCTGTTCCCTTTAGAGCAGTGAGTCTCAACTAGGGGTGATTTTGCCCTTTGGGACATTTTGCAATGTCTGGAAACATTTTTCATTGTCACAGCTTAGAGGATGAGAGTTGCTACTGGCATCCAATGGGTAGAGGCCAGGGAGGCTGCTAAACATCCCATAATGCACACACCAACCCCCTCACAACAAAGAATTATCTGGTCCAAAATGTCAAAAGTACCCAGATTGAGAAGCCCTGCCTTAGAGGGTGCCTTGGATTATACTAGAAGGACAATACTGTATTTGGTTGAGTACCCACTTTGGAGCCAGAATGCCTGGATCTGAATCCCAGCTTCACCACATACCAAGCTATACTTTCAGCAGCCTCCCTGTACCTCAGTTTTCTGTTTGTGGTGGGAGACTGGAGATAATAGTTCATTTCCCTCATAGTTTTGTTGTGAGGATTAAATGATTTAATATATGTAAAGTGCTTAGAATGGTGCATTAGAAGGTACTATATAGATGTTAGCTCTTATTTTGTCTTTCTTTGCATTCTTTACTATCTTTTATCATATTAGGTGAAATACTTTGTCTTGATTTTGTACTTTCACTTAAAATGTGAAACGCTTTATATCCAGTTTGCACAATAACTTGGGAACCTTTCTTATCTGTATTTCTTGCCAAAAGGGACATAGGGTTGTGGGAATTGTACTGCTTATGAGAATTTGATTGGCTTGTTAACCACTATAATTTCTGATGTTTAGTTTTTGTGATTCTTCACTATCATTAGCCTTCTTGTTCAATTAGTCTTTTGAACCAGGGTGCTAATCATGATATTTGGTTACAGTGTAGTGCTGGACTGGATTCAAATGAGATGTCTCCACAGGAGAAAAAAGATCAGAACAGAAATTCTGTTGAGAACATAGTCAATGAGGCTGTGAACGTGCTGTGGAATATATGGTAAGATGCTTTCCAAACACAGCCTCCTGCTACAACACTACTCAGGCTGCTGTTCTGTTAAACTGTGTAGGAATCTCTATTTCCCTTGGTTGGCCTGTGAATCCTCGATGTTAGTACTCAGTAGGAGGTAGTACCAAGTGACCCAAGATCAACCCCCTTCCCAAGCCCTTTTTTCCTCATAACATCCCTACATCTTCTTTTGTTTTACAGCTCTTCTCTTCAGTCATTGCTACTGACAAAAATAAGAGGAATCATGCACCTACTGTTCCTTCTTTTTCCCCTACCGCCTACATACCCTAAACAGCATTTGTCCTAAAGGTAGTCAGGCCCCAGTGCAGTAGCTGCTTTGGTTTGGCATCTGGAATGAGACAGGGACCACAGACCTTGGCTGGTGCTTTACTTCTCTTCCCTGGCAGTTACCATTTGAGCGGGAGGTAGATGCCCAAGAAGAGCCCCCTGGGCCCCGGTAGGAAGAAGGCCACTCTCCATTCCGTGATTGTAGCAGTGGTGGGGGTGTAGTGGACTTGCTACTAGGAATGGAAATGGCTAGCAAACACAACCTGGATTTGCTTTTTTCTGTCCCATTTTGTGTCCCATATTTCTAGCAAGATTCTGAGATAGTTCCTTATTTTCAGTGAGCATCAATTATAACGTCTGACCTGAAAGCACAGATACTTCTTAGAATACAAGATTGAATTGGATCCTGAATAGCTGTCATGTAGCAGTTTGAACTTGGCTATGATGTCATTTTAACTAGTGGATGCATTCCACCAGAAATATCGGAGAGATCAGATTTGAGGAGATGGCATTTGACCAAGTTCATGGGTGCTATTTTTCTGTGCACCTGATAACTTTAACTTATATAAATAGTTGAACTTCAAAATTTTTTTTAAAATTTCTTTGAAAAGAGCCTGAATATATCTCCAAAGTGATTTCTCTTTCCTGAACACCTGTGAGCCCTAGCTGTATCACTTACAGTTATCATTAGCTCTTAATGTATACGTTTCATAGTTTATATATCAAGTTATCTTTTTTCTGTGTGTGTGTGTGTGTGTGGCTGTCTGGTACAAGGATTAAACCCTGGACCTTGGTATTATCAGCACCACACTCTAACCCCCTGGCAAGCCTCAGCTCAAATTATTTTTATAACATGTATGCCTTGTCTTCCTGACTATACTGTGGACTTCGTCAGTGCTGCAGTAACCAGATAGACAAATAGACAGATAGATAAATAGGTAGCAAGCAGACAGAAAATATTTTTCCTTAGATAGGTTTAATTTGATAATTTAATCAGCTCTGTTAGCTATTAGTGTGTGGTGTGTTTATGTTCTATGTATGGAGCAATACCTTTCTCTGGAAACAATGGATAAAATTATTGTAATTAGCTCTACTTACCCTGTATTTAGAGTGTACACTTATTAATAACACTGATTGCTTTCTGATTCTTTTATTAAAGCATAGTGTAATTTCAAAACTAATTACTTATTATAGTAATTTCTGTGTTGCCAACTAAGTTCTGCTTGATGAAATTATAATTGCTGTCTAGAAGGAATGAATAAATTATAATTTTCTTTTAAATTTGTGCTTTTCATGTGATAAATATAGAGACCTTTTATCCTTAGTTTAACTTAATATTGTTGTGGTATAGGGGAAAGAACAGTAGGCTGAACCCAAGGAACCTAGGTAGTAGGCCTGGTTCTGCCACTAACAAAATGTGTGATCTTCAGACAGATCACTTTACCATTTGGGGCCTGGGTTTTCTCATCTGTAAAATGAGGTGTTGAATTAAATGATTTCTAAGATCTCTTCCAGCTCTAACCTTCTCTGAGGAAACTGGCGTCATGGTAAAGAGATTGGCTAAAAAGTCCCACCATGACAGATAAAATACAGATGGCCAGTTCTTCTCACATACAATGATTATTATGATTGGGCATTAGTTTCATCTACAAAAATGGTGGGTGTTTGACTCCAACTTTTTGGTTCTATAAAGCCTAATTGACTTTTTTCATGGATTTCTGTGGTTGATTTCTTAATGTTTAAATGTGAATAGTAAAACTTTTTTTTCCCCCCTTCAATTTAGTGAATGCAGTAGTAGAGCAGTATCTATATTCAACAAAGAAGGGTGTTTGGAGATTGTATTAAAGTATTTAAGTAGGTTTTCCACCAATGTTGACCTGGCTATTTCAGTAGGTAAGTGAAGAAAAGATGATGATTCATTAAGTGTGTGTAGCCTTATTAAAACATTTTTATTCAGACATAGCATGTATATTCTACAGGAGTGATTTTTTTTCTCATTGTATATAAATATGTAGCTGAGGAGTTCTGTTTGTTTTGAATCTTTTTAAATCTGTGATTAATACTTTACTTACTCATACAGTGTTTCTGCTTTTGGCTCCAAAGGGGAGAAAAGTAATTATGTGAGCGTATATGGTTTCTAGTCTGTTACCATTCTTAGAAAAACCTTTATTAATTCTTGAAGTTTTCATCTCCATTTACTAAGAAACAATAACCCACAACTACCAGGTCTTAAAGCCAAAGATGATTAGAATCTAGACTTACTTAAATGTCTTGTACTACTATCTCATATTTGCAGCAGAAAACTTATTAGCCTGTGCTTGTTCTGAGAGAAGAAAAGAGTAATTGAAATTTCATAGGCCAATGTCCCTTCCATGGGGTAGGGGAAGCAAAGTCCAGTAACTTGAGCTGCCTTGGCCTCCTCACCATCTCTGTATTGGGTTAGAGAGCCACTGGGGACCCTCACTCAGCAGGGGGAGGAGATAGAAGCCAGAAGGTGGGCAGCTCAACAGAATTCTGGGTGAGAGTAAAGAAATAGTGGATAAAAAGCACTTCTTTTCTACCCATCATAATGGCAGGTATCCAGCGGTTCTTTTATTTAGCTATGCATTTCTCCTGGCAGAGAAGAAGTGTATCCCCCTTACCCATGTTCTTCTTGGCTCTAATGGGTACTATTAACAGAAAAGAAAAAAAAAATAGTGGAATAAACACTGCTGGGAAAAATTTAAAAAACAATTTCTCAAAATGGAATCTTGGCGGGAGGAGGGTTGTGAGTAAATGGGAATTTTATTAACAGTTCAGCTGTTTTTAGGAATGGGTAGGTGACTGTTAATCCCAGAGGACAGTTTTTATTACAATAAGAGAATTTCAGGAATGGCTAGTCCAGGGATGTGAACCCATGACCTTGGTGTTATAAGGCTGCACTCTAACCAGTTGAGCTAAGCGGCCAGCCCCCATAAATTTTGAAAGAAAAACTTCACTTCTATTTTTGTACCTTTAGTCTTGTAGACTTACTTATTTTTTTAGGTCTTTTCTTCTAATGAACTTTTTTGAAATGGATCTGATTAAAGTCATTTTGCATTGTATAAGCGTTTTCCTTTCACATTTAGCTAAATTCATGACTTTTTAAACATACATTGTTACTTTTGTCAAGCTAGGCTTTACTATAGAGTAAATTGAACTTGCAAGATTCCCCTGTATGTGTTAATATACTTTTTTTTTTTTTTTTTTTTTTAATTATCCAAACCTGTGGCCTTGGTGTTATCAGCACCGCACTCTCCCAAGTGAGCCACAAGCCGGCCCAATATCCTTTTTTGTTTTGAACTTGTCTTTATGGTAGCAATCACAGCTTATTTTGGCTTTTTGCTAAAGTGAATTTAATTAGTCTCTTAATGAAAAAATATTGCATTTGGTTGTACATATGTGTGTATATATGGATTTGTATACAAATGTATTTTGGGAACGAAACCAGATCACAGCAATAGCACATATTTTGACTAATTTGGATAGGCATGATCTGTTTTGAAATTTTGAGACCTGGAAAGAAATGAATTTGTATGGAATAAAATATCTCAAAACAAATTTAGGCTTGCTTCCTCTTTTATGCTTCAGAGGTCTCTTCTGTCAGACCTTTTATGCAATCCCAATTTTTATACTTTCAGATAATTATTTCTGATATGCAAGTTGCAATCCATTGTGTTATTTTAATGCATGGAAAGGAGTGAAGTGCTAAATGGATCACATGTCTATTAATATTTTATCCATCTCTTAATTTGCTCATATGTTTATATAAGGTGACTTTTTTCTTAAAGAACTATTGCTTTACCAGAAGTAACCCTAACTTTTAAGATCATGATGAATTTAAAGAAAGCCAGAATGTCCCAAAACCTAGGGCTTGTTATTGACAACAGAACTGCTATAAGACTGTGGTCCATGGCAGTTTACTACTGGTCCGTAATAAGTCCCTAAACTGAGGATAAATCTTTATAAAGTTTCATTGTAATTCACCATTGCCATAACATTTAAGAGCCCCTCTAGTTGTATTTGATAAAAGTATAATTCTGTGAAAGGAAAGATTATAATTCTGTAAAGGAGTAGAAATTTAAAAAGAAAAGAAAAAAGAACTTTTACACACTGATAGTTTGGGAAGCCTCATTTGCATGTACCGTCTTTGAGGTAAAGCATATATATTCTACAAAGGCTACACATGTCTAAAGAAGTTGTAAAGGTGCACCTTTTTTTGATATGTTATACTGGTGTAGGTTATCCTGAGCAGAATTCATTTGTTTCTGAATATTTGTTTTTTTGTCTTATAGCATATTGTTTGCAGACGGTGACAGAAGATAACCCAGAGCTACTGAAATCTTTCAGTGTCACAGCATTGCATGTGCTGGAATCAGCGATGCTTTCTCCTGTCAGTTCCATGGAATACATTCTATTGAAGACATTGGTGGCAGGTAAAATTTAGCCATATGAAATAGTGTACCTTTTTAGTAACTAGTAATGGATAGAGGGGGGAGCCAAAGTTCAGTCATTCCTTCATTTCACCATATCAGGGCCTTCTGTGCTTATGTGTGTTATGAAAAAAAAAAAATTTTTTTTTTTGGCATCTGGCCTGTACAGGGACTGGACCCCTGGACATTATTGTTATCAGCACCATGCTCTGAAAATTTTAATATTTAAATGGAAACCCTTGATTTGAGCAGTTGTCCATAGTTGTGAAGCCTTCTAGAATATTTTTTTTCAATTTAACAAACTACTGCTATCTGATAAAGAAATGCTGTTTTCAGGATCCCCTCTTATTTGTGAACCAATGAGTTTAGAAATTGACTTTGGGGCATTCACTACATGTCTGCTTAGTTTTCCATAAGTTCCTTATTACCCCCCCAACCTTTTTCTCTCTAGAATTTCTGAATATAGAAATAAGAAATGACCTGATGGTCTTTTTAGTAGCATGTACTTTATACAGTTTCTGTATGTATTTTCCTCTTGCCTGTTCGCCTTGCAGAGATAATTTACCTGGAGAGGTTTTGTTTTTTGTATTTGTTATGTATTTTACATCTAACATAAGATTTACTATCTTAATCATTTTTGAATGTGAAGTTCAGTGGTATAAAGTACATTCATGTTATTGTGCAACACATCTCCAGAACTCCTTTCATCTTGCAAAACTGAAACTCTGGACCCATAAACAATTTTTTCCGTTTTCCTAACCCCCAGCCCCTGGCATCCACTATTCATTCTTCTTTCTGTCTCTATGAATTTGACTACTCTCTAGATAACTCATATTAGTGGAATCATACAATATTTGCCTTTTTGTGACTGGGTTATTTCATTTAGCATAACATCCTTAAGGTTCATCCACACTGTATCATGTATCGCTTTTCTTTTTTATTTTATTTTTTTTGCAGCTGGCTGGTACAGGGATCCAAACCCATGACCTTGGTGTTATAGATTGTGCTCTAACCAACTGAGCTAACTGGCTAAACTCCCCATTTTAATGCTGAATATATATATATATAATGAGGTATAATGTATATACCTCATTTTGTTTATCCATTCATCTGTCAGTGGACACTTCTGTTGCTTCTACCTTTGGCTATTATGAATAATGCTGATATGAATATGGGTGTAATCTGTGCACGTTTGTGCTTTCACTTCTTTTGGGTATATACGCAGGAGGTGTTTTTATTTTTGCAGTCACTTTAAAAAAAAAATTAATCTGACTACTTAATGGTAGCTCCTGTTCTAATTTGATAAGCAAAAAACCAAGGTCCTGCTCTCTGGTTTGTACATGAGACCTTGGAATTTTAGTACATTCCATTCCACCTTTGGAATATAAGAAGCTAAGAAACTTGATCAGTATTCTGTGGTCTGCTGATATGTAGTGTGTCTGAGGAAAGCGTTGTGTGCCAAGGAAGGGAGATAGTTCTGAAGGGATATGACAAAGTGCACTGCCTCTTGTGCAATACTTTTTTTTTTTTTTTTTTTTTTTTTTTTTTTTTTTTTTTTTT